AAAAAACATGAATAAATAATCAAACGTTATTCCATAGTCAAAAAATTATAGATTTACTGGAACAATTTAAGGTCAACTTTAATATTTAAAGCTTACAAATTCCCCCACATCTGTATGCCAAATACATAAGTCCACATTCTCATATGCAACCGAAACCTTTTGCCAGTGAATGGCTATTCGAAACAAGTGGCGAAGCGAATGCACTTCGAATCGAAAGTTTTGAAGTGCACGCGCCCCAACAACAACATCAGCAACAACAACAACAAAAAAAAAAACAAAGTTACGCTCTTTAATTGCTGTTTGGCCCAAAGTTTAACGCAACAGTTTCTGTTGCTGTTGCAAAGGCAGTAGAAGAAAAAAAGTGTGGCCAGGCCTCGGCACAACAAGCAGCACTCGCTCAAATGATCCGAAATGAACGGACGTGGTCCGGACAGGGTCTCGGCTGGGGCTGGGGCTGGGCTGGATCAGGGGCTTGGTGTGGCATGCCGTGGCGTTTGGCGCTGAAATGATTACGCGCGCAAGAGCGGCTTGTCGTTAAAGCTGGCTATGCCCAGCGGCCGCGCCCTCCACTCCGCTCCAGCACTCGCAATCAGACAGACACAAATGGATGCGGCAACCGCAGAGCCACACGGCCGAACGGCCGTAGAGACTTTGGCCAATATTTCAAACACGCGTCGAACGCATTTCCGTGCGGAAAACGGTTACAGCGGAAATGCAACTTTGGCCGTTGTTCAAGCATAACTGTTGTTTATGTTTGCACACACACACACACACACACACACACACACACACACACTCTGCCTCGGCAGAGGCAGTGAAACATGGCAATGGACGACGCTGGTTGGTTATCAACAAAAGTGCGACCCGTCCTGAGACACGGACACAGCTGTGTGCCGCCAGCATAAAATCGTTGCTCACTTTTTATATACTCTAGCTTAGGTATTTGAATTTTGTCATGTTATATGTAGCACATTTAAGACGACACCCTTCACACTGCAAAGTATTTTTATTCTCGCAAAACTATTCTGTTACAAGATTCCCGATCGATCCACGTTATCTCCGTTGCGAACTATCGATCAACCAACTTTTTATTTCAAAATATTCCGATCAAACACACCTGCTTTGAGTAAGCTTAGAGATTAGATCAAAATATCGCAGACCATATATTGCATGTGTCTGGTAGAGCATTTAGTATTCAGTGCATCTTTTCGTTGCCATTGTTTTTTGCAATTTTGGGTCAACAGCAGATACAGTTACAAAGCCGGTTACAGGCCCGCTTACAGACCCAGTTAACCATTACGCTACCAGTTAGTTTTGGCCCATTGCTGGCCAGACGAGACGGCTTATATATTTTTTTCTTTGCCCCTCTTCGGAATTGCAATTTTTGACAGCAATTTTCTTGCCGTTGACAAAAGCCTCACGCAGTAAATTGAGATGGATGAAAGCCAACAGACAGACAGACAGACAGATAGACAAACAGACAGAGGGGCCAGTTGGAAGTGAGCTCGTCTCTGACTGAGCCAATAAGCTCACTTGGTTTAAGGCAACGGAGACCCTTAAAAACCGCCCCAAAAAAAAAGTAAAATAAAATAATTGTTCAAGTAAAATGAAAGCCAACTAAAGGGCATTGCTGTTGTCCGGTTGCAGTATTTTGTGGACTGCTTAATTGGTTTGTCCTGGCAAAAAAGACGAGAGACTGAATATGAAATCCTGAATACGGCTAGCCAGCCAGCTGTTTCCTTTGGGTCAATGAGACTTACAACTGCGCGGAAACTAGCAGAAAGAAAAGAGAAAGAAGCGAGTAATAAAAAGTTTGCATCCCACATGGAGGGAACTATTTAATAATATTGCAATAGCTTTTTAGAGTATTTTCATATCCTTTAAATAAGCAGGGGTGCAAGCCAAAAAATATGTTATCGCTGGTTCGGTTCACAGCTCGAACCAGTTTCTTGCGTAAAGTAATATTCGCTTTCATTAAACAAGAAAAAGAAACGAGATAATATTGCAATAGCTTTTAAAGGTACTTTAAATGAATAAATTTAAGATGAAACTGCAAAATATGTAGATGAAATAGGTTTTTATTGTGAGAGGGCTGCACTCCCAAAAAAGTTAAAGGTGGTTCGGTTCACTGTTCAATCAGTTCCTTGCTTAATGTTCGATTCATGAACCTTCTTGTTTTCCACATCGTTGAACCTAAGTTTCGGTTCAAACCTAGGCTTATCATATACCAACTGCTCTCGATCTACAGGAAAGTTTTGAAAAATATAATTTTTTTCAGAAGTTTGGATCTACCAAATATAATAAGATAAATGTAATGATTAATGAGAAATCGATAGTTCCCAAGACCAGACCTTAAAAGTCTCTGATTTGGGGCTAATGTCTTCTTGTCACGAACCCAATAATCAAAAATCTGTGCGATTAACTTAATCGTTTATTGTGCATAAAGTATTTCACAGTTGGTTACACCTGACTGACATGTCCCTAATGCTTTTCACACGTTGCTAAGGTTTGTATTTGCGTGCGTGCGTGTGTTTGGTATTGATAGGATTTGCCTACGTCCTTTGAGTTTCAATCGAGCTTACTGCGAGTCATTAAGGGACATTAAACAAGACGACACGCCCACACGCCAAGCTCAGCAACAGAAGCCAGTTTTGGCCACTTTATGGTTTTGGCTTAAACGGTGCAGACATTTTCATTAATTTGCACAATTGAATGATTTTCATTAAATTGTAATTACCCGAAATTAATCGCTTTGGCAATTGGCAAACCAATTGATGAGGCGGAGCCTGCTGAGGAGATTGCGAAGGTTGCTCTGGTGCCTAAGCGGCTTATAGCTATTGCTTTGCCCGGAACCTATTCAGCATAGACATCATTTTGCCTTACTCTCCTACTCACTCTCTCTCTCTCTCTCTCTCTCTCTCTCTCTCTCTCTCTCTGTCTAGTTGCCTCTTTCTCTCTTGGCAGCCTTAAGCCGTGCTGATAAGGAAAACTTACCGAATCGATTCAATTGCATTGTTTGTGTTTGTCGACTGATTGAAATGCATGTGAGCGTGGAAATTGTTTAGTTTTCATTAGAAAACGCATTCCGAAAATCCATTGGCAGGCAATTAGAGCAGAGAAAAGTGTTGAAAAATAAAAGAAACGCAACTGCTGATTAGCCTCCAGCTATAAAAGCGCAAATGAATGCAAAGAAATGCAAAAAGGAAACAAGAGCAACAAAAAATCTGTTGTCTTTATCATGTCGAACATCAAATACCCTTGCAAAGCTGACAGCCTTGCGATACATTCCCATAGTTAGACACACAACGATGTCAATTTGTACGTTCTCGATAAGATATTGGGCGTAAAATAAAGCTTGAAACTTGTGTATGAAATCCCATATATGCTGAAAATTCTCTTCATGTCCTTCTTCATGACTTAACTAATAACTTCAGACTTGCACCCATCTATCCATTTGCTCAAAGCTTGTACATGTTGTGAATTACAGCAAGGTAAGCTTAGCCAGACCCTAAACTATTGGTACAAGTTGTGCTATATATCATGTAAGATTATAATTTATAATATTTATGTTTGGGGAGAGCCATCTTTAAGCCGTCACACATTTTACGACAAAATTATAATACTCTCTTGGAAGTGTATTAAAAGGCAAACGAAAATGCAAATAAAGCAGCCAAATGTCAGGTGCAAGTGTGTAGAAGGCTGGGCAGCAAGGGCGTGCGAGTCTTGGCAATTAAGAACGCCTCTGAACGGCAGCTGCCACTGAGTTGCTTAAGTGTGCGTTGCATATTTTAAGCTGCCGCCGCCTACGGCCCCCCGCATACCAAGTTCTGCACACAACCTTCTGCCACACCCCAAACAATGGGGCAGATGGTGCTGTTGCATCGGCAAAGCCGGTCAAAAGGCCGTCAAGGGTCGTGCCAAGTAACAATTTGCAACAACAAGTTGCAACAACGGCAATAATTCAGTTCAAGTGCACAAATGTGTTGCACATTTCGCATGCAGCTGCAAGGTAAATGTTTGGGCGCACTGCTGGGGCTTGGTCAGGTGCGAATATTGCCACAGGGCTGACAGCTCGGACAGCGCGAAGGTCTTTTCATTTCAAGAGGTTTTTCGAGTTTTTCGCAAACGACAGAGAGAAAGCAAGAAACATAGATAGAACTAAGTGCAAATCAACACGAACGGCGAGCAAGTGAAAGCAACAGATTAACACAATAAAACTCAAATGGAATAAACATTTCAAATGGGGCCAATTGAATAAATATAAGAATAACAATTAAATTTCCTGCGCGAATGCTCGCTTTAAGTTACCCTGTATAATAGTGGCTGTGGCTATACAATACCTTGATGGTCTTGCATCCAAGTGGCAACGCATGGCATATATATGGCATATGCCATAGAAGAAGATGAAGCAAAGAAGCATCATTTCTATTTAACTGGGAAAATAAGTTGACGGTCACTCTGCAAATCTTTTTTACTTTCAGTGAAACATGGGCACACACTTTATCAGTGGTTCGGTTCACGAATCAAACCAATGCTCCATCTTATGCTACAGTTGCTAAGCCTGGTTTTCGACTTGACTCGGCTCAGATTCCGACATATGGAAAGCTCTCTCTTTCACTCAAATCTGAACAAGATAGAACTCAAATAGTTTGCGTGTACAATTTTTAAATAAATGTTGTTGTTAAGTTTCAAATAACTTTATTTTCGCAGAAAATAACGATCCACTTTTAAATAAAAAAATAATTATTTTTGACTTTAAATAATTGTGCACATTTTGCATTCCTGCATACCGTAATTCGCTTTTAAACAATTCTTAAAATGAGTAAAACATTTTGAATAAAGGAAACAAAAAATTCTTAAAATAAAAGTTATTTCTTGCGTTCTGTTTTTACTTTGAATATTATAACCTTGCTCATAGAAATTCCATTAACTCAGATAATTGAAGCGAGTTGTTGAAAATATTTAATATATATCAGCTTGTCTTCAACAATTGATTACAGCTAACCGAACGCCTGGAGCAAATACCCGCACCACAAATGCAAAATGAATTCGGACCAAACAATGCAGATGCCATCTGGGCCGCCGCCTCCCTCGCAGAGAGTTACATGCGGCGAGTTCAGCGGGGACAGGGAGAGCTATGGGGCTGCCGCGAGTCTGGGATATGGCGGCATACCGACATCGTCCACCAGCAGTTACGGTTCGTTTGGCGTACTCTCCAGCTTATCCAGTGGTGGGACAGGTACGTCCACGTTGCCGCTGCTGTTGTCCACGCCGCCATCGACAAGCACGTTTAAGACAACGCCGATTTCAATGCCAACATCGACGCCTTCGCCATCATCATTGATTCCGATTCCGATGTCGACGCCCGCGCCCTCCCCTCTGATCCCCATGACGAATCCGACAACGACAACCACACCGCCGCCGTCGACGCTGCTGCCCATGTCAATGTCCATGTCGCTGACGACGCCAACCCAGCTGCCGACACAGCTGCTGCCAATGCCAACGCTGGAGGACATTGAAGTAGCTACCCAGCAGCAGCCGTCGGCGCCGCCACAGTCGCAGCCAACCGGCATACTCAAGTACCCAACAGCATCGAGCATTGGCTACGTCAGCGAACTGTTGCCGCCGCCAGGTCCAGCCCTGGCCAGCAGCGCCAGCAGCTCCATCAACAGCAACTGCGGCACACTTAAGAGCAACGCCAAGCTGCTGCCGCTTCAGCTGGTCGCCAATGCGGCACCCACACGCAAGGAGCCGCCATCGAGCGCGCCCACAGCACAGTCACAGCAGCAGCAGCGCCAGCGGCGGCAGGGCTGGTGTGCCTGCTTCGGGTCCGGTCCGAGTGCATCGGAGGCCAAAACGCCGCACGGCTACGGCTCCAAGACCAAGAAACGCAAACAAACGGCCCAAACTGTTTGGTCTGCCCTTCTCACAAATCTGGGCATTTGCATGCTCCTTCTGGCCTACACATTGCTGGGTAAGTGTTCATATATAACCTTCCACTCATTTGCCGTGTATACAGGTGAAAAGCTGGGTATACAAAACTGATGAAAAACGATTTGATTTGCGGTCTAATTTCTATATTCCTTTTATTTTCACATTTCCAACCATATTCCATGATTGTTTTAGCACTCGCAAAACATAAATTCCCAGCTGTAAGCCGCTTAGCTATAAAAATGGTTTATAATTTCTGAGAAATGTTTCACAATTCCTAGAAGTAGACAAGAAATAGAAAAGAGATTTTCTTTTAAACAGTAAAATAGATTCCTTGAACGCATTTTAAGAGAGATTTTAATATGAACAATGTTTAATTGAATTTATAAATCGTTTATTTCATTTAAGCAATACGGCAAAAGCGTAATTAAGACAATTTTAATGAGCTCAGCTCAGTCGTAATGTGTCGCTGGCATTTCGAATCTAGAGTGGATGTGCTCATTAAAATTGGACGGCTTCTGTGGAGCTTAGCTTGATTAATTGTTAGCACATAGCAACTATCAGTTGTACAAACATTGTTGTTTTTATACCCTTAAACGCAGTATACCAAATTTGTTACGAAATGTGTAACGCATAGAAGGAGACAACTTTGACCCGATAAAGTGTATATAATATCGATCAGTATAAACAACTTTTGTCTGTTTCTATACCAAATAAATCCTTGGTTTTAATACTATCTATCTTAATACGGAACATATGAATAATCGGAATTGTAAATCCCATAGCTTTGATTGGAACAATCGGTCGAATTTCGATTTCATACAAGAACAAACTTTTTATTTACTTAAATATTATTTTGCTCCTATGGGAGAAATCGAGTAAAAATAAAACATTCGTATAACAGGACTCTCAGCCGCAAGGGTATTTAGGCATCGGCGTACCGGCAATAGCTACGGCTGTTAGATGTTATTTATTTATTTATTTATTTTTTCTTCTGTGTTTTTGGGTTTCCCTTATGTTGACTAATTAACGCAGCATTTTCCGTCATTTCCCCTTTTGAGCATTTAGTTAGCTGGTTCGCCCTGTCTGCGGGCCGCTGACTTTTTGCGGCTGTTGTGTGTCAGCTACAGATACAGCTCGTATCTCAACAGTTGTAACTACAGCTACCTAATGTGACCTGTCACAATTTCGACGTTTAAATTGACAACAACAACAAATATGTGATGATAAATTTAATTAATCATTTTGCCAGCCGCATGTGAATGAAACAAAACACCAAAATGGCGTCGGCCGCGAGGCTTGCCACACGGCCGAAACTTATCCGGCAACTGGCAACTGGCAACTGTGTGGCATCATCTACTTTCTGTCGTCTCTGTCATGTTCGCCAGCCATGATGTACTCGCATTAGAAACCAAAGACGGCTGCGCGAACATAACGGCGACGGAAGTGACAGGCTGCGAGACAATGTGACAAAACAGGCAACATGCAAAAGGCTGGCAACACATGCGCCACATCAAAATACTTTAAACAAATCGAAGCGTCTACGCTTTAGAGATGCCACCTGTTTGTGTTACTTGTCACGGGTAACGAATCACAACACTTGGTACAGGGCTCGAACCAACTCGGTTTGTGCACCTGATTTTTCTCTACTTAGAAGTCAGGTTCTTGTGTAAAACTTAATTAGTCAAATATTTTCAAAATTCTTATGTAGCAATTAAATTTTTGATAAACAGCCGCCCGCAATACTGAAAATAGATAATATATAGATAATATATATTTTCATATGCAAGATGCGGGCTAAATTTGATATCTACGCAAAATGTATATCCATCAAATATGCTTCAATAAGTGCGTTGGAAGAACTTCCTCAAATGTTTTTTTCTTACACAAAACTTTTTTAGAAAAAGAACAAATCAGTTAACATCGATTTTCGGCTTTGTCGTTTTTTAAGGTAACTTTTTTTTTTTTTTTAGCTTTTCGTTTCGAACCAGTTTTAACCCTTAATTCCATAATTTCCAAATGAATCTGAGGCTTTTACCCTGTTTAGTACTGCAAATACGAATATCAAAGACCACTTAAAGCATGCTCAGACAAATATGTACCTAGAGTTTGGGAAAATACCATGTAATTACTTTTCTTGTCCTATTAGGCAAATGTTTCTTTTGGATAAATATAGAGCATGGATTAGAATATTATAAAGGAGACTAAAGCTAAAGTTGATATTGAAAACTTTTACATCTAATTGAAATATGTATTTGTAAAGCTGTTGTCGTATTTACAGTCTGTACAGTTTTCCTAAACAACATTGTCTCAATTCTCACTTTTGCTCATCTCCAGCACGTATGTGTGTGTGTGTGTGTGTGTGTGTGTGTGTATGTGTGTGTATGTGTGTGTTTGTTTGTTTGTTTGTTGTGCGTGCGCGTGTGTGCGGCTGTATGTGACAGCTGCGCAAAAAGTTAGCCGTGTTGCCTTGTTAAAGGAAATCATCAAATGACACAAACAATTATTTAACTTTCTCTAGGCCCCGGTGCGTGAGTTTGTGACGTCAGCGCACGCCCGTGACAGCTCCCCAGTGCGTGTGTGTGCCTGCTCTTTTGTGTGTGCTTATGCATATGTATGTATGGGCTTGTATGTGCTCCATTTTGCGTGCATTTTAACGCTTCAACAAAAGTTTCAAGTTGGCCAAGCACAACAACAACAGCAACAGCAGCAGCAGCAACAATTGCTGCTGCCGCGCTTCTCTCTGCTGCCGGACAGCCAGCAATTCACAGTCCTCCCACACGCTCATGTATTATTTTTAACTTTGACATGTGTTGGCTTTTGGCGACGACATCGACTCATCATACACCATAATGTGATTTGCAGCCCAAAAAGAACAAAATTTGTTAAAGTTACGGCAAATGTTACAGAAAAACTTTTCCATAAACTTGACAAATGCCGCTTCGGCGACACATGTTTGCCTATGTGCATATGTGTGTGTGCGCATTAGTTGATCAGCATAGACATTAAATGACTGACAAGGCTTCAGCTTAGGAATTTACACAGAACCTACACAGGCTTAACATACATCATGTCAACGAACTGAATGTGACCCATTGCCCTTAAATACCCGCATTCCTAATGGCATGCCCTTCGACCACAGTGGCCTATGAGAAGTCTTAAAAATGTTTGTGTTATAACAATTTTAGTCTGATTCGCTAAAGAATTAGTGTCGATTTCATAGTTAAAGCTATCAGAGAGAACTGAAGTCAAGCAAAAGCCGCATTTAAATACGGAAAAAGTAAGTGAAAAGCCAAAGCAGAAGCGAGAAGCTAAGCCAGCAGCGTTAAGTTGTAGGGGCAGATAAGAGGGCTTAGTTGGGTGAGAAAATATGCGAAAAGTATATGTATATACTCTTGATCAGTATCAGCCGAGTCAATATAGCCCTGCCCATCTGCAGTCCGTCTGTCTGTCTAATCTCTCAGTTTTAAGGCTATCATCATACAAATTTACAGAATAATCACTTTCTGTTGCACGCAAAAAAAATTCTAAAAAAAAATTAGGTTCTTGTACTTTTTATTATTAACGGCATTGAAGAGGTTGGGCCTGCAAGGGTATTAAATCTTCGGAGTGCCGAAGATAGCACTTCTTTCTCGCTTAAGCTATAAATTAAATTGTCCAGGTTGAGTTGAAATTTTGTAAAAAAAAAAAAGTTTTATGAAACTTCTATGTTTCCATTCAATTGGCGTCAAGCTCATTTTTAAATATCTACATGAAAAATCAATAGAGACGTGTTTTAGCGATTGCGAAGCATTCGACTCCTTTCAGAGGAATAGGGATTCAAAGTAGCTCTCCTAATCTCGGGAAACATTCACGTTTGTGTTTCTCTGGAGATCGGACGTGAAAATTGCAGTCTCGTGTGTGTGTGCGCGTTAGTGCACCGCTGGCAGCAGGCATAAACCAAGAAAGTGACAGTGACACTGTATAAAGCCCGCCCCAGGGCAATCCATACAAATCCCGCTTATAGTGGGTAAACTATACGCAACTGCTGCCTCTGGCAGCCGGAGTGTTATACAAATTAACAATATTTTAACAAAAAAATTACCGCGTGCAGTGCGTGAGAACAAGTTCTTGCAAAACTTAAGCTGCGCTCAGCTGATCGCAACTCAAGTGCGTGTGTGTGTGCGCGAGTGCAGCAAAGCTTTCGCGAGAGAGCTTTCAGCTTGCAGCTGCACTGATAGTGCTGGCAAAACAGTCACTGCAGTGACAGTGCTGACACTAAAGTCACAATTTGTGATCAATCACTTGTTACAAAAATACGGGTTATTTTTGTAATTAAGTGTAAAAAACTTGTTTTGTTTTTATTTTTTATTCTTTTTTCTCCCTGTGGGGAAAAAATTATAACAAAGTAAAGAACAATGGCTACAAACAACCGACCCCAAAACAACGAAGAAATTCATTCGCCAATCTACCCGCTGCCGAACAGCTCAATTATATCCCCTACAAATATAGCCGCTAATGTCGATCGCCTCGACGGAAGCAGGCCACTGGAAGATTTTTACCAATATTACAACAACGTGCTCGCCAGTAGTGCAAACCGGAACGGCGCCTCCACCTCGCTGTCAGCCGGTACCCAGCAATGCTCGACTTGGCAACCGCAACAGCACGGCACTGTCAGCACAACGACAGCAACAACCACCACAACCACAGCGTCATCCAGCAGCGGCTGCAGGACATCTGCCTCAACAGGCACAAGCCGCGCCGCTTTAGAGCCCATCGGGACCCGCCCCAAAGCCGCCAATCCGACCTTGCAGTCCACCCCTTATGGCACCCAGGCAGCTGGTTCTTGTGTCACAAACCCCCCTCTGCCTCCCATAAAGAACGCAGGTGCTACGCCAGCCTTCGAAGAGCCACTGGTAGATTGGCAAACGGTTTCCGCAAAAAAACGGCGTGGGACTACATTATTATCCGAAGGCGTAAAAAAAGGGAAGCAACTAAATAACCGCAACACCAGCCGCGCTGGAGCTAAGCCCGCAACTCCCAGTACCGCTTCGGCAATTAGCAACAGATATGCCTCCCTTGAGCCTCAGGAAGACGCCTCTGTAATCGATGACGGCGAGATGGACACTGCCGACGAAGCGCCTCCAGTCACAGACCAACAACAATCAGCGAAAAAGATCTCCAAACCCAGGCCGATAACAGTCCCTGGAGTCAGCGATATTGTCGCAATGGAGCGAACCATAGATCAGGCAGTGGGCGCAGACGCCTATGAATTCAAGGTCTCTCCCTCTGGCTATCTAAGAATTTACGCCAAAGATGCCGACACCCACAGAGCAATTGTCCGCAAGCTCACTGAAGTGAGAGTGCAATTTACCCACTTCTGCCTAAAGGAAGACAGACCATACCGCGTTGTGGTTAAAAATCTGGCCGCTTCCACTCCCAGAAGCCAGATTGAAGCTGCCTTTACATCGCACGGCCATATTGTGACGAACCTTTACAACCCGGGCGCCAGACAGCCAACAAGTGATGCAGACTCCACCAACGACTTTCCAAGTCGCAACTTCTGGTTTGTCGATCTCAAGCAGTCTCTTAACAACAGGGAAGCGCTGCGGCTCAACAAGGTTGGCCGCCAACGGGTCACTATTGAGCTTCCGAGGAAGAACAATAGTATAAGGCAGTGTTTCCGCTGCTTCGAGTTCGACCACACCAAAAACTACTGTCTCAAACAGCCCAAGTGTGGTAGGTGCGGTCAGTCCCATTGGACAAACTCCGAGCAGTGCCAGGCCAAAACAGTGGCAGACCTGCGATGCTCCAACTGCGAGGGAAACCATGCTGCTTCCTATAAAGGATGCAAAAGCTATCAGGTGAGACTAAATGCCAGGCAGCCGGCCATCAATGTCTCCCCTCCTACACGATATAGCCATCCTCAAAATACACGAAGAACCACTCAGCAGTTCGTACCTTCCCGAATTGTGCAACAGGGCCTGTCGTATGCTGATGCGCTACGGCCAGGCCATCATGTACAAGTCCGCCAACCCCCAGCGCGCACTCTTCAGCCCACCGTCAATCCAATGCAGCTCCAACAACCACTGCAAGGGCCTCAGGAGCAAGACGCTTCCCTTGGAGGCATCCTTCAAAACCTCCAGCAGTCCATTGCAGCACTGAATGCCGCAGTTGCAACCATTCTGGTTAGCATTAAAGAGCTAAAGGATGCGCAAGGTTCCCCGCAGCTTAGATTCCCAAAAAGCCGCAAATAATGGCTACCCAGTTACGTCTCGGATCGTGGAACGCTCGTGGCATCCTCCAAAATGCTAACGAGCTCAAGCTTTTTCTGAAAAAGCATGATGTAGACATCATGCTCATCTCAGAAACACATCTGCACACAAACTTGTACCTAACAATGGAGGGGTACGTCTGCTACCGTGCGGATCACCCTACAGGACGAGCCAGAGGTGGTGCTGTAGTGCTGGCAAAGCAGGATTTAGCACACTACCATCTACACACAGTGACCTCCAGCGACACACAGCTGGCTGCTATCATGGTGGAGACTCCCTTGGGCGAAATCCTCGTTGCGGCAGCATACCTACCACCAAACATCCCCTGGAACCGAGCGGAATTTGATTCCCTGTTTGGCCAGCTTGGCCCCAAATTCATCGTTGGAGGCGACTTCAACGCTAAGCACAGACTGTGGGGAAACTACAGAGCTGACAGCAGAGGCACTGCGCTCCATGAGGCGCTCACTCCCTGCTCAGCCCAGGTACTGGCCACCGGTAGACCTACCCACTTTCCGTACAACCGGCAAAGTACGCCTTCCTGTATCGACTTTTTTATATTCAAGGGCATCCCCAACAGCGTACTATCGGTTCGCGAAGAGTATGATCTATCTTCCGACCATCTGCCACTCCTCACAACGATCAACACGGCTGCACAAAGGATCCCAAAAAAGCGCAGGCTTGTCCTCCCTGGGTCGAACATCCAACGATTTAAGGCCGAACTAAATAGCTTGATCAACCTAAACACGCAGATTCTGTCAGTTGAGGACGTCGACGCTGCAGTACAAACCCTGTTGGACCAAGTACATGCCGCAGCCGCCAACGCTGCGCCCGCACATATCTACTCAGCCCCTACAAGCCAGCGGCCAAGGACGTTTTCCCCCATATTGGAAGGTCTTCTCGCCCTAAAAAAGCGACTGAGGAGGGAGTATGTCCGTACCCAGGACCCCACGATTGACAGGATCTATCGTCGTATTGCTAACAGGGTCAGGAAGGAGCTGATTATCTCGAAAAGAAATGCCACAGACACCATGCTGGAGGAAGCAACGGCAGACGAGAGCTCCAAATTCGCGCTGTGGAAACTTAGCAGTCGATACAAGCGGCAAGCTGCGCCAAAGTTCCCCGTTCGACTTCCCGATGACACCTGGGCCAGATCACCAATGGACAGAGCCGAAGCCTTTGCCTGCAACTTGGAGGAGCGCTTCAAGCCGTTTGAGACCGCATCGCATGCAAGGATACAGCGAGTCGCGCAAATCCTGGAGGCGCCACTCCAAATGTCACTCCCTGTATCGCCAATCACCTTCCAAGAAGTAGAGCAGGAGATGAAGAGATTAAAAAGCAGCAAAGCCCCTGGGGAAGATCGGTTGGACAACCAGACAATCAAGCTACTGCCATACAAGGCGGTGCTTTTTCTCGTCGCCATTTTTAATGCAGCTCTTCGGCTAGGTTACTTTCCAGTGGCTTGGAAGAAGGCACATATAATCATGTTGCACAAGAGCGGAAAGCCCCCTAATCAACTGGGATCCTATCGCCCCATCAGCCTCCTGCCTGCCTTTGGTAAGATTCTGGAAAGGTGCATCCTCAGAAGGGTCCTGGATACCCCGGAAATAAAACGCTTGATCCCGAAGTTCCAGTTTGGGTTTCGACTCAAACACGGTACCCCTGAGCAACTACATCGGGTCACAAATTATATTTTGGACGGCTTTCACAGGAAAGAGTATGTGGTGGCAGCATACCTTGACATCCAAGAAGCCTTCGACCGGGTGTGGCACGCAGGACTCCTCTCTAAGATAAAGGACAAATTGAATCCGCAGCTATTTAGCACCATTGCGAGCTTCCTAACTGAGAGAACCTTTCAAGTGGTGCAGGATGGAGTAGCCTCTCAAACCAAACGCATAAAAGCGGGCGTTCCACAAGGCAGCGTCTTGGGTCCCACGCTATATAGCCTGTTTACACATGACATGCCCACAGCAAATGCAAGCAGACGGAATGATCGGCAGGACCTTCTGGTGGCCACGTTTGCTGACGACACGGCAATCCTTGCAAAAAACAAATGTGTGTACGTGGCAACTGACCTCTTGCAGGAATACCTCAAGCGATTTGAAAACTGGGCTTGTAGATGGAACATCGCAGTGAACCCTGGAAAGTGCGCCACGGTTACCCACACTCTACGCAAGGACTCATGCCCCGGACTTTTTCTTCATGGTGAGCTTCTAGAGCAATATCGTCAACACAAGTACCTAGGTGTCACTCTCGACAGACGACTTACATTTAGTAAGCACGTCTCTGCAGTAACGAGCAACATCAAATCTAAGATAAGGCGAATGAGCTGGCTCCTCAACTCCAAAAACAAACTCTCGCTCCGAAACAAGGTCCTAATCTACAAGGTAATCCTTGCCCCAGTGTGGCGTTACGGGCTTCAAGTTTACGGTATAGCTGCAAAAACACACCTGAACAAAATTCGCATCATTCAGGCCAAAACCCTGCGCAAAATAACTGGAGCCGAATGGTATATTCGCACACGCGACATCGCCAAGGACCTCAAGGTTCCAATGGTGGGCGACATAGTCAACAGGCAAGCAGCGAGCTACTCAACAAAGCTCCACAACCATCCAAACATCCTGGCGAGGAGCCTGCTAAGGAGGCGAAGAAGAAGGCGACTGAAGAGGACCTACCCAACCGACCTAATCGATCGTTATGTATAGGTGACAAGCTTCGTTAATTACACCAAAATATGTTTCTGTAATCTGTTAACCTAATTGTATAACTAATTGTAAAACCACAATCATCGCTAAGCTAAGTAATTATGTCACTCTGATAAAAGTTGCTAACATAGAGTAACAGGATACCAGATTTCTTAATAAACAAAATATAAAAAATAAAAAAAAAAAAAAAAAAAAAAAAAAAAAAAAAAATCTCGGGAAATGTGTGTTATAAAGTTCTATGTTATACATTATGTGTACTACGAGTAGGAAAACCTTAGTTAAAGCAACTAATGCTAACTTAAACTTGTTTAACAACTAGACAGCATTGATATTAGCACTTATACTAGACTGACTTCTATAGAATTGAGCCCATTCAAGCATTTAAATAAAGTTTACCAAGATATTCAACACAAAGTCCCTGAACGAATAGATTGAATGGGTAACAGGCAAAATAAAAAATGAAACACAACTGCAGTGCGGAGCTAGACATAAAAGTGGTCTATTTAAGAGCTGATGATTGCTGTGCATGACTCTTGGCCAGTTTGGTGGGCCAATGGCTAAACCAAAAGCCCCAACTGACCCCAAGCGATCCGTTGGAGCGCTCTGACAAAACAAATGAGTTGCCGTCGCTTATTTGGAGGCCAACACTTTGGCATTGTTGTGTTGTTGTTGTTATGTGTGTGTGTGTGTGTGTGTGTGTGTGTGTGTGTGTGTGTGTGTCAAGTCTCATGTGTCTAATGCTGTTTGTTGTACTTTGTTGCTCTTGTTTGCAGGCTCCTTCATATTCCTAACCATCGAGAATGAGGACTCGGCACTGCTGCATCAACAGCATACGCTGGCATCCACCAAGCGCAACATGGCCAGCAATAGCCACAGCAACACCAATGGGAACGGCAATGGCATCTATCAACAGCAAAGGTCGCCACAGACGCAGCCACAACAGCAGCGGCAGCAGCAAGGGCAACAGCAAGGACCTCACACGGACAATGACACGATGGCCGCTGCAATTGCCCAGGGCCAGGATCTGGGGCATGAGCGTAGCGTCTATGGGCAGGCATCGAATGACTTTGTTTATGGATTGGATGACTCCGACATGGAAGCGGGGCAGGCACAGTTTGCCTTATCGCCGGATACTTATGATGTACGACAGCGCACCATTGAGAATATCTGGGACATAACCGTGTCCCTAAACATACTCTACAAGGAGAACTGGACAAAGTAAGCCAGCACGTTCCCCCTCTCTATCTCCATCGCACCTAAATCTCTATATCGCACCTAAATTTCTCGAACTTCTCACTTCTCTTTTCACACACTCACAGATTAGCCGCACTTGAAATTGCCAAGTTTCAAGACCAATTAATCAAGAGACTGAACGAGGATGTTATGCTGCAATTATCACACGACGATGTGGCTGGCGGACATTCGGTTGCTGGCGGTTCTGCTGGTGGTGCTGGTTCAGCTGGTGGTTCAGCCAACAATCCGGCCACGGAAGCTGTTCTTCTGCACACACACTTTCATCATCATCGTCTTGCCGGCGGTGGCGTGGGTGGACCACCACATGAATGGAATTTCGCCAAAGCGTTTTTGTATTCGCTGACCGTTTTGACCACAATTGGTAAGTGCCCAGTGACCAGAGACCAGCGCTTAGCACATGTGTGACAGACAGAGAGGCAGAGACTGCTGCACAGTGAACTAGACAGGGTGGGAAAGATGGCGAGAGGGGGCATGGGCAGTGGGCGCCAGTGCGAGTTGGCTGCATTGTGCCATGGCTGCCATGACTGTGGGCCATAAATTTTATATTCCACCAAACGGAAATTTGCTTTACTTCAGTGGCGAGCATCAAATGAACTTCGTGCACTCGATTTTAGATAGCGCCGCAATAGGGTCTACGACCCATTCACCTTTTGACTCCACCACAAAACCAGCTTCACTAAATGATCGATGAGCAGGCGTAATGAACTCTTGCGCTTTGACATTCAGAGTTCAATTAGCCAAATGAAAAGGCGAAGCAAAAAAAAATTGAGGTAGCATAGCCAAGGGCGCGTAGCGAATAGTACTCGGACGCGTTAAGAGGGCGTATAAAAACGTAGTGAAGTGAATAAGGCGTGACGAAAAAATCACAGCTCAGCGAATGACTTAGTGGAAAGCTTAGCGAAAAATGTAGCAAGAACCCTTACGAGAAGCGAAGGGAGAATCTAAGGAAGATTAGCGTGAAGCTAAGCGAGAAACTTAACTAGCAAAGCAGCGAGAAGCATAGCTAAACCAGAAAGTTAACTAGAAGCAAAGCGAGAAACATAATGAAATGTGTATCGAAAGCCTAGCCAAAACCCAAAATAAGAGCAAGGAGATAAGCTTAGCGTGAAGCTTTACGGGAGACAAAGGGAGAAGTGTATCGACAAGCTAAATAAATAGCGTAGAGAGCTGCATAATAGGAAAGTAGGCAAGGCTAGGCTAGGAGAAATTAAGTGAGAAGCGTAGCGAGAAGTTCAGGGGAAACATGACAAGTAGGTAGCTAAGTGAGAAGCAGAGAAGCTAATCCAATATCGTACCGACAACTTAAGCGAAGGTCTGGGCGAGAAGCGTAGATTTGGCGAGAAGCTTAGCTTTTACCATAGGTTAGGGAAGAGTAAAACAAGAATCGGAGTGAGAAGCATACCATAGCAAAAAGCGTAGCAAAAAATTAAGCTAAAAGCGTAGCGAGAAGCAAAGTGAAAAGCTCAGCGTGAAGACAAATCGAAAAGCTTAGCACGAAATGAAGCAGAACAAAAAAAAAAAATAAAACAAAACAAAAACATTGAGTAGGATAAAAAATAAGAAACAAAGGGACGCAGAATAATTTTGTAGCAATGATTTTCGGTGTCAGAATTGGCACGAGAAATGAAGCGGAAGCAATACTCGAGACTTAGGCCGAAGAAATAAATTCGTTGCCCAGTTAGTGAGGTAGATAAAAAGTCAAATAAATAGGGAGAAAGGGCGAGAAAGAGAGAGGGGGAGAGAGCGAGAGAGAGAGAGAGAGAGAGTTAGCTCGGATACAAGTCGCCAGGGTCTATTTATTTATGCAGGCTTATTACAAACAATATAAATGAACACAACAGAGTGAATAAAGTGAAGACAAATACACAAGTTACATTCTGTTTGCTTAGCTACACATTCGATACTCAACGAAACAAATTTGCCATACATATGATTAATATATAATAATGTGGCACAGTTAGCCAATGTGAATTCCCCAAACTTAAATCATGGTGTTCAATAATTAACAATAGCTTAAAGACAATTATCCACTGGAGATGCTATTTTATGCCAAGCCAATTGACCAATTGTCTTTATTTCTGTTGAAAAATTGAAAATTTGATAATGGGCAATATGTGCTCAATCACATTTGTGTGTGTGTGTGTGTGTGTGTGTGCGTGTGTCCAATTGCCCCGCATGGCTGTAAAAACTTTGAAATCTGAACAATTTCGACGAATCTTGTTATATGTATGTGACTTATCAGATATGCTCATCTGTCATTTGTGTGCTCATGTGAGAAGAATATCTTTCAATTGGCATTGTTAAGGCGCTTTCACACACGCCCACAAACAAACGCACCTCAATTTAAAATGTGTGTGTGTGTGTGGGTGTGTGTGTGTGCGGTGGAAATATGTAAGCAGCCTGTACTGCCAGAGTTTTGCAGTTGTCAGTATTCCCATGGGCTGTCAAGTGCTGGCGTTTGCGCTTTTCTTTTCCTTTTTTTTTTTGTTTTTTTTTTTTTTTTTTTTGTATTTTTTGTTTTTGTTGCCTGGTAATTTTGTAGGTTCACCCACAAAAAACAAGCCGAAAGTCAAATATTGATAGAGCAAAACAACAAACGAAGCTATTTGCTTAGCCCGAATGGCCAAAACACAGACACACACACACACACAGCTGGCATGAGAGGCATAGACACGACTTTCCACTTGTGAAAATGCTATAAAATAAAATTTGCAAAAATTTTCTGCTGATCTTGGCAGTTCATGCAAAGGGGCCGACTAGCAAATACGCCCTGCCCAACCCACCCCAAAAGCCCATAAGCGCACGACCAATCCCAATCCCAATCCCAATCCGAATCCGAATCCCAGACCCAATTCCCATGCCCCCAATGCCGCCCACTGCATAAAATACTCAACATTTTGCGTTGGGTAACGTAAGGAGGGTGAACTGCAGCATACGGCGCCTTTTTCGGGGGCGTACAGTTGCGGGTCGCATTGTCAGTTTGCAATTGTGTTAGTCAGCAGGCTGCTGGGACATTTGTATTAACATGACTTCCTGCTTGCCAGCCGGCTTATTATTATTATTATTATTATTGTTCTGCGGCTGCCAATGGACACGCTGGCCCCTTCTAGCGCTGGCTGCTAACATTGTTCTTGGACGAACGCCTACAAAAACTCTGTATGCGAGCACCCAACAATATGATTATTATTATTATTATTGGCCAGCCCTCTGCTAAGCCACTAGCCAGCACTGCAGTGTGGATCAGGCACAGTTCCGCCTAGAGATGGCCCCATTTTAGGTATTTTAATTTTGTATAAATTTATATTTAAAAAGTAATAACAATTATATATATTAAATATTAGAAAATAGTAGTTAGCCTTTCGGCATATTTGCAATATTTAAAAATTATAAATTATAAATATAAATTATTAAAAGCAATAGTTAAGCTGTCGACACATTTGATTCGCAGTTCACTTAATTCGCAATTAAACTTTGCGTGAACTTTGGCTAGGCAACAAATTCAGTCAATCGAGTTAAATATTTTAAATCGGCATCTGCTCTTAAATAGTGTAAAACTCGTGCATATTTCTGTAAAATTGGAAATTTGATTTTGCAACGAGTTTTTTTTTTCATTTATTTTTCAAAAGAAAATTTACATTCCCCATAGCTAAAAGGCTCCATTATTCGATGCCTCATTATGAACACACATCTCGTCGCATATTTTTCATTTTCTATTATCTTCTATATTTCATACAATATTCAGATGCATGTTTAATAAAAATGTAAAACAAACATCATAATCCATATTTATTTCTTGATGCTTTATTTTAACATATTCCTATTTTAATATTTTCATGAATATAATTTACAACATTTTAAATTGTAAGTTTCAAATTTGATGTGGCTTTTAAAAATTCAAAATTCAAAATGAGTTCAATTATCAATCACAATTATCGCAAATGATTTTCAATTAATGCAAAGCGCATGCCTGGCATTTCGGGCTCCATTTCATCTCCCTGGAACACTTGCATTTTATTGAATATATCAAAGAGTTAGATAAAGACACGTATGTGATGCAAAGGACTTTTATCGATTGTCACAATCAACTCGAGATTAATTGATTTATCGATTGACTGACAACTTTTTGTAATATAAAACAGAGTATTGGGCAGTCGTTAGATACCAACTGCAGCGTTTTATATTTCAAGATCGTGACACGTTCGAATGCTGCACACGCGCCCATTTCTAGTTCCATCCAAGGAACAATTCCAAATCCCCATACATACACATATAAACATGTATATGTATGTATATGAGCGTGAGTGTGTGTGTGTGTGTGTGTTCATGTACATCTCGCTATGATTGTCTTGGGCATAAATGGGAATTTATAGGCGGTTTGCTGCCTCTGTCCCGATTTGGCTCCTTCTCGGGCTCTGCCACCGACTCCGGCACTGGCGCAATAAATAGCCAGACCCAGCAATCCCTGGACAGCAATAAGACAAGTAATTTAGTTGCAAAATAATTTTAAATTTCATTTTCCATTTTCACAGCACTCACTATCATCAATTGAGCATCTTGCGCGGGCAATGGGTGTGAGTGTGAGTGTGAGTGTGAGTGTGGATGTGGGTGTTGTTTCTTGCTGGAAAATGCGCCCAGCCGATTGGCTTTTATGCGATGCCATTTCCTGCTTTATGGCTAGCATGTGGACTCCACACTCCAACCAGGCATCGATATCAGCATATTAACAAATTGTACGTTTTATTGGGACTTGAACAACTTAAGAGCCCAGCATTGCATTTATTTATTTACAACTTTATAGCAAACTAGCAGACAACATATTTCTTCTATCTTTCATCATAAGATAAACTATTTTGTACATATACTTGGCTATCGTAGCCATATTGGAAATGTTTTAATCTTAACTGGCCTGCACCTTTGTCTGGCACATATATTCAAATCACAAGTTTTGATTTAGTTTGAACCAAACAAACTTTGGTTCTAAAACAAGACTTTGGCTACACTGTGAATTAGTTCGTGTAAAACTTGGTCTGCAGCCCTAGCAAATGTGCGATAGTTGTAAAATTCGCATATATTAAATCGAAATGGTAAATTTAGCTACATTTTGACTAAGACCATGTTATCCAAGTGTTCTATTTAAGTATGAGTATTGCGAGATTAGTTCTGAATTCGTTTAGAAAACTTTTAGGCTTACCATTTCTAGTTATATTTTGTGAAAAAACAAGGCTGAAGCTTTCAAATAAAGTTGTTTTAGCTCTTTCTTTATATTAAACGATGACATGTAGTCACAAAAATATATTATTCAGCTAATGTTAAGCTTAGGCCAAAACTGACTATCGATATTTATCGATACGTTTTTAACTCTAAACATATACATTTGCCCACTTTCATTTTACCATTTCTAAAGCATATTTAGTTAGATTTAAGAGAGGTATATGCCAAATTTCATCCCTCTAGCTTTTATAAATCCTAGTTACAGCCAAAAAAAACGTCGTTTAGTAAGGCGATTTATCGATAAGTCTTAAATTTACATATACATTCGAGCACTTTTATTATACCATTTGCAAATCATTTTTGGATAGAATTTTAATAGATCTATGGAAAATATCTGAGCATAGTCCACGCAATTCTAATTGAAAGTCAGCAAGATTCGACTTTGGATAATATTTTAACAACGTTCACTTTCGCTGTCCCACGCCCAAGAGCAGAGAAGTTTCTAGTCTTCGTTTTCGATTATGTTCAATTGCAATTTTAAATATTGTCCGACAAAAGAACATTTATATGCTTATGCGCTGAAAATAAGCCTAACAGACCTTTGACTGATTGATTGATTGAGAGGCACACGCCCATTATCGTCGTTCAAATAATGCATTAAACTGGGCAACCCGCTGACACACCCGCACAGCTCACAATAAGTGCGTGTGTGCGTGTCTAAATATTGAAATCTTTCAATATCTTTCAATAAAATATGTAGATGCTTCAATCAGCCCCCCCCCCCCCCACTTGCCGACAAATTGACAGCGCGCCAGCTGAGTTTTACAGCAACGGCTTTGGTTTCGGGTCAATGCCAATATTATTAGCCTCAGTCAGCGCCCAAAACCCCACTAACCTACACAGATGAGCGCTACAGCACCCACTATAAACACACACACACACACACACTAGCGCACACACACAGACACATCGAGTGGGGTCCTGAGACTGTCGTCTGCTTTCTGACACATTTGACATTTTGCTATAGCTCAGATTTTGGGGCCAGACGGAGGATTTCATTTAAATTTGCTGTCAACGCAATTACATGCTGTTTGTGTGTGCGTGTGTGTTTCTGTGCTTATGTGTGTGTGATTGAGACCCTTAAGCAATGTAAAATCCATGGTCTAGGTGTTACGCCTGCCCCCCCACTCCCTGCGCTATTTCTATTGCCAGTTTCGGTACTCGACTTGGTTCATCTGATTTTATATTGATTCAATTTATTTGTGATGAGTGTTCTGGGCTGTATTTAATGTCCGGCGCCCGCAAGTAGGCAACGCAGGCCGCAATCATAAAAAAAAAATCAACAAAAAGCGAGCGAGACATAACAAACATGCCTGTCATGGCAATAAACCACGCCCTCTTGGCAGCGTAACGCCCACGTTGCCTGCATAAAAATACATCAAGCGGCAACAATAAAATTAAGAAATTTTCAATTTATGCATGAGACACCTGACGTCGACGACGACAACGCTCATGTGTGCGTGCGTGTGTGTGTGTGTGCATGTGTGTGTGTGCTGTTTGCGGCACGCCCATCAGCAATATAAATGCACATATAGCCGTGCATAACTACGTTCATATGCGGTCTACCTGGAGCAGCTTGTTAGGCATTTTTATTACCTCAGCCGCTTAATTATTTTTGCCAATATGTGCGGCTGTAAAGCGGGAGAGATTCCAGAAGGTGTTTGAGGTGTGGGCGCCGGGTTATATTATGCTTAATATGTGTTAATATATAATAATATTATATATAATTAATATGTTTTTAGTGTCCGTCATGCCAGACGGAATTGCGCTCTTGCGGGAAACAATCAAACAAATAAACAAAACCTTCAACTCATGCGTCCATGCACAGGCCAGTCGATTATTTCTGCACAGAGATCGCTTTTCTTCAATTCAATTGGAGATGTATTTTATTACATATGTATATAGCACAGTTTGAGCTTTCCCTTAAAAAAAAAAATGGGCATTATAAAGTACCAATGGGCCTTGGGATGAATGCGATCCGTAACGGATAGAGCGGCCTGCATAATCTAATCTAATTTTTCTCAAATAAAACAAAAGCTTTAAATGGACACTCGATCCACTTTAGGTAGAGCGACATAAATAATATGAACTTTCTTAATGCATTTGAAATATCGCCTTTCTATGCGATTTTCATGGTTTCTCAGTGTGTTTAAGTTCTGTATTTTTGTGATAAAGCACTATCAGCATTTAGTATTTTAATATACTGATTCGTTCTTTTGAATGTGTATCTTCGTGACTTGATACTCACTCTCTCTCTCTCAGTGTCACCCACCTTCTTAGTCCCTCTGTATCTCTGTCTCTCTCTCTCTCTCTCTCTCAGTCACCTCTCTCTTGGAATTACCTTTATAATTTATCTATTTGCATTTTTTACAGGCTATGGCAACATCGCACCCCGTACGGCGCTTGGAAGAATCGTAACCCTGGCTTATGCCTTCTTTGGAATACCCCTAACGCTGGTCTATCTGAGCAGCACGGGCAGCATTCTGGCCAAAGTGGCGCGCGAAGTGTTCTCGAAGGCGCTGTGCTGCTGCCTGTGCTCCAACTGCGGCTACTGCTGCTACGACGAGAAGCGGATGGCGGAGAAGGAGCGACGCATGAAGCGTAAGCGGCAGCAGGAGGAGCTGCGCAAACAGCAGGCTGTCATGCAGGAGCCCTACTATGTGCGCGATGTGTATCATGCCACGCCCGAGAAGCAAGCTGGCGGCACAGTTGGTGGAGCTGGCGGCGGAGTTGGAGGAACCGGCACTGCCGGAGTTGGTGGCACTGGCGCACCCACTGGCGTACCCGGCCTGGGCATGCCGCCGGCACCGCCATCGGGCGGTGCATCTGGCGCGGACATTGATTCGCTGAGCGCCAGCGAGTCGCGTGGCTCCATGCACGGCCTGAGCATATTGGCGCCCATTCTGCTCTGCTTCTCCATGATGATCATCTACATAGTCTTTGGGGCAGCGGTACTGTATCGCCTGGAGAATTGGCCAATTATCGATGGCATCTATTTCTGCTTCATGAGCCTCTCGACGATTGGATTTGGCGACATGCTGCCTGGTCTAAGGCGCGATTCGAATGCCACCACCTGGTTCTGTTCGGTGTACATTATGTCCGGCATGACACTGACGGCCATGTGCTTCAATGTAATCCACGAGGAGATTGTCCATCGCATACGCATTGTGGTGGAGTTCAAGAAGGCGGGCGCTGCTACAGCTGCCGGCACCGGCGGCTCCATGTTGGATGTCACACACGAGGAGGGCAATCAGTACTATGTGCCCGCATCTTGACACTACGAGAAGCGCGGACATCTCTATCAGCGCAATCCCACCGAGGAGACACTGGTGACAGGTAAGCCCCGGTCGGCTTTTATTCGCCTAACACCGGCTAATAGCTTATTGTCTTCCATTTGCAGACACGCCCACATCGCTGGTGCTCAAGGACTATGTTAACCACGAGCTGGTGCCCATTTTGACCATGGATCCGAATGGCTCACGTCTGGGCCTGGCACAGCCAGCGCCCGTTTATACGTCCGCGAACAACACGAATCCAACTGAAGTCGCCGGCGAAAGCAGCGCCCTGGGCTACTCAACGCTCAACAGTCCGCTGCTCGAAGGACTCACAGCGGGTGCAAGCGGGGGCGGGGGCGGAGGCGGAGGCGGAGGCATCTCATCACAGATCAAAGCCGGCGTCTACACGCTGGCCGAGGAGACGGAGCTCGAACTGCAGGCCGTGCACACAGAAACGCACGTGGAACGCGTCTAGAGCTGTGAAACGGACAGCATTAGGTCGTAGGTCACATAGAATTAGTCCATAGTCAGTTTAATGTGTAATATTTTTTTTTTGTGGGCAATGCCCGGATAAAAACCAGAAACCAAAAGCCTAGCTCTAAGTTTGACTATCATTGTATATAAAAAAAAAAAAAATAACAAAAAAGGAAATCAAAGTCGAAAAAGAGAAAGAGAACACATAAAATATGAAACAGAAAGAGAAAGGGAGAGCGAGCTTCAGCAGGAGCGAGGCGAAAGGATACATTTCCATAGCTCGTAAGCAAAATAACTAAATATTGGGCAGCCCCACGGCATGCTACAGAAATTAGTCAATGTAGTAAAAACAGGCAAAAAAAAAAAACACCTTAAGAAAAAACAACAACAACAAATCAGTGGAAAAAAAACTATTATACAATAAGCACTTAAATACTACGTTTATGCGATGAATTTCACGATTTCTCTAAAAGCAGCTGTAGATTTCTGCTTCTTCAATTTCGAGTTAATTTTGTAGCAATCTGGCAGCACAAAATAACTGTAAATGAAATTCCAGCTAGTGCATGAACATATATACATATATGGCATAGTTTTGCTGTACTTGATTCAAGCTCAATTCAGCTGAATTTGTGAAAATAACGGAAATATACAGTGAAAAATATTGTTTTAAGCTTTCGACGTAGCATAAAAGATAAAACTGTTTCGCATTTGACAACTACGTTTACGCAATGCACTTCACGATTTCTTGAAATCTTTTCCATATGAATACGTGCTTCTGTTCTTTCAATTTCTTTTGGGCAATCTGGCAGCACGTTTAATGACATACACATGAAATTGTTGTGTTTTTAGCACTCGAGCAGTTCATGAAATAATCAACATTTCTCAATACTTTGCTCACAAAAAGTGTTTTGAAAATCAATTATTGCTAACTCTGAATTTGCCGTGCTTTCAGCTAGATTTTTCTGCAAGCGCCACATACAAGTTAAAAACAAAAACAAAACAAAAAAAAAAACAAAACAAAATGAAATAAAATAATAAAGTATTAAAATTACTCGTACATATATAAATAGGTACATATGCATACATATAATAGCAAATCGAGTAAGAACTTACTGAAGCCCAGCCACATTAAAAAACGTACATTTAAATGCCCGTAAAGCATAAAGCATCCCAACATTTTATACGTAAATCAAGCTTACATAGTTAATATATGAATATCAAAAAAAGTAAACAAAAAACATTAAAAAAAAAGGAATCAACAAAAATATGCTACTTACATATATAAAATATGATATAAATATAGATAACTGTTGTTGTTTTTTTTTTTTTGTATTGTAATTGTAATTGTAAAACCTAACATAAAAATACGCATATTATCAATGAATTTAAATTCATAAAATTTCAATAACGTTTAAACTCAAGAACTTTGTAAATTGAATGCATGTTTGAATGTATATTTACAACACAGCGAGAAAACAAAAATGCATAAATAAAACTTAAATAAGTAAAGATGTTGAAAAGTGCCAGCGTATTATCACATTCCACAACACTGGCTATCACTAGATCTGGCAACTCTAGGCCATAATTATTAGTAACTGCCATTTATCGTTGTAAATTCTTTTTTTATAAGTTGTATTGAGCTTTACGAAACAATTTTCTTGGCATTTCATCTCATTATTTTTTCATTAAGCATAAAAACTGCCAAAGTCGGCAAAACATTAACTTGAATTTTAGTTCTGTTTGTAACATCAGCTTTCATCATATTTGTATCATATATAATAATCATATTGTATGCTTCTTTAAGTTCACCTTGTAACCTTAGTATTAATCATATTTGTGTACGTGTGAATCCCCCGAGTGAGTCCAGCGCGCCACCTATTGGAAGGCAAGCGTAAACATTTCATCAATGCAGTTGGCGCCATCTATCGTTACGCATGTCAAGCACCTCATCAAGCAAAGTTTGCAGCACGTGCTTTGCCCGCGCATTTCAAAATAATAAGAGGCGCGTCGTGAAAAGTTTGCCGAAATAATTGAATATAAATGACTGTGTGGATTTGTTGTTAACGCCGTTTAGCAACAATTATGAGATCAGATCGGGCTAAAAGTGTTCGCACTCCAGTTTCCAATAGCAGGTAAGCCAAACAAACGACGCCATCAATTTGTTATTAACAATTTAACCTTCAGCAAATTATCATAAGTATGTGAGTGATCGCGATTTGTTTACTCAATTTCGTTTCTTCATTTTTTTTTTTTTTTTATGTGTGTGTGTTTTGTGTTCTCCATTACAAAATTTGTGATAAGCAAACGATTTCGTTCATTTCGGACTATGTAAATGAGAAAAACCCGCCGCTGCTCCAAAGCCTGATATGAATTTTTCATATTTACATTCGATTCGGAAACTTTTTTGAACCTATGTATAAATAATATGTATTTTTATTTTGCTGTGTTTCGTTAGGGAACAACACAGTGAAAATTAAGTTTGGGCAAGCGAAAACTCATATTTTGTATATATGTATGTCCCTATGTATGTGCTTACATACAGTCATCAGAATATTCACAATAGATCTGTAACATCTTATGGGATTATCGACGCAGCTGCTGCGTACAATTCTTCATTGCAGTTGCTCCCCAAAACTAGATGGCCTTACATTTACATACATACATATGTATGTGTGTAATAGGTATTTGCATAAGTATGTATGTACGCACAACAAACTTGTCTTTAAAAACAAAACAAACAAAAAAAAACACGCAGTCACACTGAAAAGTAGTTGCCTATGTGCGTAAATACATATGTACATACACACACACACACACACAGACACACCAATATGTATGTATTTTATTTTTGCTTGTTCTTACACAACGCACAGTGTGACCTCTCTTCCCCAGCCATTGCCTACCCTCTCATGATCCACCGGCATACACACACACACACGCATAGGACGAACAGAACATTGTGTTTGTTGTTGTATGCGGCTCTCTCACATGCGAAATGCGCACTAATTGAGGCAACACGTCGCCAAATACAAAGAACAACAACTACCAAATCATTTCAAGCGGATTTTCATAGCTTCTCTGTTTTTATTGGGTTTTTATGAGTGGCTGCGTTCAGCAGAGAGTATTTGTAATATGTATGTAAGTGAGAGAGAATATGGAGCACAACAATACCATATATTTGGGTAACAAATTTGATTAACTATTACCATAAGTCTGAAACTCAATGACTATAGCTTAAAATAAATCAATCACTGTAAACGCTTAACAGAATATCATGCTGAACGCAGCCAATGTAAACGAGATCGGTTTTTGCGCCTGTTGACAGTGCGAAGCAGCAAGAGCGCAAGAGCTGAGAGAGCCATTCAGAATGAGAGAGAGAGAGAGTGTGTGGAGGCAGAGCGACAGAGAGAGCGCGTTGGTTTTGTTTTTGTTTTTGTATAGATGTGTGCGTGTGTTTGCATTGCTGTCGTTTTGTACACTGTTGCCTTTTTATTGCTCTTTATTAATCACTTCTACATTTGTTATTTAACTATTTAGCTGGGTAGATGAAAAACAACAATACTTGACCAATACCTGGAACGCTTGCTCGCCTGAGCGCAGCGTACAGCAAAATTTATCACACTCAATAACGCAAACCAAAACAAACCAAAACAAAACAAAAGCAAACGAAGAACGCTGACAAAGTAAACAACAAAAACAAAAACAAAACAACCGCGAATTACAAATAAAAAGTGAAATAACAAACTGCTTTAAAGCGGCAAATGCAACGATTGCTGCTCCGGCAGAAACGCGTTCAGTAAAATTAAAAAAAAAAAATTAAATGTTAATTTGCTGCAATTTTTTGCCTATTTTTACACGGCTTTTTCGTGCACACACACCAACGCATTATTATATACATATGTGTGTGTGTGCATGTGTGCGTGTGTATGAACACATGTATTTAATGCAAGCAAATTTAAAGTGTGCGCCCAAGGCCCAGCACACGCCCTCCGCCGCCCATTTCTTAAAAAAAGCCACTAAAAAAGATACCCATACAAATAAACATACATTTAGCACTGTGTACAGTGGGCATAGCAGTATGCAGATGTGCATGAATTACAAACGGTATTAAAATTATGTAAGTAATCTCTAAACTAACATTTAACAAAACTAATTGGTATTTGTGCATTGGATTTACATAGCTTTTGCAGCAGCTATCAGAACATTTGTTAAATCAGCATGTCAATTCCCATACAAATAGCACACTGGCACCACTGTGCGCCGTTAGAGTCGCTTCTAACGCTTGTCAACAACTTTGCGGCGCTTTCTCTGTCGCTCTCGCTCTCTCTATCCCATTCGCTCGCCGCTGCTAAAATTGTTTTTACAATTTTGGTTTCTTTGTTGTGCTTTTTCATTTGTTTTTGATGTGTGCGCTGGCCGAAGAAGAGGCATTTCAACTTTGTCTCCAAGTTGGCAGGTATGTACGCACATATGTATGTATGTACACACATGTATGTACATACATTCTATGCAACTGTTTAACTGCAACTTTTGCTTTTTCATATATGTATGCATAATTTTTTAAAAAAAGCATTAATATACAAACATACAAACATATGCATATAAAATACAGTTCTCAAGAAATTATGTATGTATGTATGTTGGGCACAGCCTATTGCATATGTATGTAGAGTATTTGGGCTTCGGTGTTCCGGAATTGATTGTGTTCTGTCTGAATGTATTTACATAAATACATATGTGCATATGTATGTATTCGTTAAAAAACAAAAAAAAAGCTTTTCTTTGCATGCTGTTTTCATTTTCACTGAAATTTAATACAGCGGTTGTCTGAACAAATTTTATTGTGCGTATCTTCTGACTCCCTGTTTTTGCTGCTGTTGTTGCGCGCAGCATTGACGGACGCTATTTGCATAGATTTGGGATGTCTTGCTGTAAATTGCAAATGCAACCAATAAGAAATGGGCGAGCTGTTGCTGTGCACGCATACATACATATCAATGTAAGCATGCATGTGTGTGTGTGTGTGTATGTGTCTGCATGCAATGTTTTTGTTTTCTTCTTTATTTTTTGGCTGTTTCTTTTTCGACCATTTGCTTTATTGCTCCACTTTTGCTTGTGACTTTTTAGTGCCTTGTCGCAGTCGCTGTTATTTGATTTTCACATTTTTCTTTATTTTTGGTATCACATGATTATACAAACACACACACACACACACACACAACATACATACATATGCATTAGTATTTGTGTGTGTGTGTATAGTTTAAGAAAATGCCATTTGAACATTTCAGTTTACGTTCACGTTTTGGGGTTGAGTAAGTGATCTGTTGATCTCCACATTTGTCGCTGTCTCTGTCTCCACTCTACACAATTTTGTGACGTAAAAGATTGCCTTCGCTCGCTTGCTCGTTTTGTGTTATCTTGACAGCACACGCATTTTCGTTGATATTTTTTTGTCATCACGTGTTGACGACGCAGCGTGACTGCTTCTAGGTTTGTTACTTTTATCGCTGCTATTGGTCACACTGTGCAAGCTCAACACATACACGCTGTGCGTGTGCGTGTGCGTGTTTGTTTGTGTTTCTTTGCATGAGTGTGTTGTAAGCTTTTGCACGCTCTCACGCAGTCGATTCATTGTTGGTATGCCTTTTGCACCTGTTTAACTGTTTATAGTTTTCTCTCTTGCTCTCTGTCTCTCTGCACTGTGGCGTGTTCTAACTGGTTTCGTGCTCATGCCATCGCTCTTGAAATTTTCATGCATTGCAATTTCCAATCAAGTAATTTTACTTGCTTATTGGATTTGAGCGGATTGTATAACTCTATATATCAGCAGACCGAGACCCCAGAGCAGATTCCTAGCAACGGCAAGGGTGACCGCATGGCGACAGTAGCGTCTATAACTGTGTGTAAACAATTTTGGGGGCCGCTCTTATCGTGCCAATGCGCTCGCTCTCTGGCGCTCCCTCTCTTTCTAGTGCGCTCAGTGTGGCCCACATAATTTTTGTTTGTTAGTTTTTCTGTTTCTTGCATGCAGTCGCTGTCGCCGTATACGCTGCTCCGCTAATGCCGCTAACTCTCGAAACGCTGCCTCTCTTTGCTTCATTTGTTCTATTTTATATTTATACGAATGCATACATATGTATGTATGTATGCATGTATATGTACATACATACATACATCGTTAATAATTTGAACATATTTAGATGTACATATATAAACTTTATCTCTGTTCGTGTGTGTGTATACTTTTGGCCAGCAACGTTAAAAAAACAAAAAAAAACACTGGCCAAAACCGGCCGGAAAACGGGCATACAACAATTCCAATTAGAGTAAAAGCCGCCCGACGCCACCGACGTTCAATTACGTGAGCATCGCAAAATGTTTTGCAGTGTGCGAAGTTGGCGTCGACGTCGACGTCGGCGTAGTACGAAAATGGCAACGGCAAATCATAAAAATTTGTATAATTGAGTGGCAAACGATAAGAATTCTTGTTGTTATTGTTGTTGCTTATCGGCTGACTTTCTTTTTGCTATGGCATTGTTGTTGTTGATGTGCTAGTTGTCGTGTCTATTCTGGCCACATGTTGTGTTTTACTCAGTTTATGCTTTGCTTTTTTGTTTTGTTTGTTTTCACTTCGGCAACGCAAACACAAACATACTCACAAATAAAAAAGCCGCTCTCTTTGTCGCTATCTCTCTCTAATTAACACGTTCGCATTACACTTCATTTTCATTAATAGTGCGACGTGGAACAAGTGCGTCGTCGTTTGTCCCACTGTCTGCCTGCTTGCACACATACATACATACATACGTACGTGCATGTGCTCCTGCTTGTGTGCGTGTGAGCGGGTGTTTTGATTCGTGATCAAAACTAGAGCGCAACACACACGCAAAAACAATAACGGCATTTTAGTCTCCACTTTGCTTTATTCAATGGACAGCATGCTGCACACAAATATTGTGAGCAATAGAATATAATTTCATAAATATTGCAAGCAATTTGTTTTTGACATTTATATATAATATTTTTTGTAAATTTTCCCCAAAAATAATTAAATTATGTGTGTACATAAATATTGTCATTGGTTTTGCTCGTGTGTTTAATGCAGCCAAATGTTTTGTTTGTTGTTAGCATACCTAGCCTAAATCAACCAAATGCCAATACATTGTACTTAAGTATGAAACAGCTCGCGATTGCTGCGGCCGCAGCCAGTGCATGTGGGAGAATGAATGAGAAAGATAAACTAAATGTGTGTGTGAGAGAGAGAGAGAATGCGAACAGTCGACGATTGTTGTCGACGACGCTATGTTTTGTTATTTGCGGGCGGGTGTCGATGGGCAATTCAGCGTCAGACGCAGACGACAGCGTCGTCTGATATTGCAGTTGTGTTTGTGTGATTGACTTTTTTGCCTCTGCGTGTGACACATGTGCACACATACACGTACGCACATGCATATAACATTTTCATGGTTTACACATACAAATATATCAGTACCTTACTAAATATTTGTACATTTTTAGAAATGTATACATACACACAAGCTTACATACATACATATGTATGTATGTACCTATCGAATTTGAAACTATGGGTTAAGTAAGCGTCTATAAGGTATAGGTAGATATCGAAATGATGTTGAAATTGTAGTGAAGGTATTTTGACAATAGAACCTGAAAAATACACCACAAGACACTCACATACATATTCGGGTATGTACGTATGTATGTATGTATGCAGTTCATCAATGTACAGCAAACACATACATACATTTCTTTTTCTGACAAACAGTCACATCTTTTATAAGAAAATATATGAATAATATTCTATATATGCATATAAATAAACTGTACGCATACATTTTTGTACATTACGACATACATATACATATGTACATATGTATACGTTCGCGTCATACAACTTTTAGCATACGCCTTGCTCCACTGTGCAAAACAAAGTAATACACAGACAAACACATTCATGCTTAAACTAACTGTAAGCGATCCATGCTTTTGCAGCTACTTCTTTCTTGCTGCCAAAAACAAAAACCATGTGTTTGCCACGCGCTTTGATCTTGCTCTCTCGCTCTCCCTACGCTCACCAACACACACTTGTGCATGTACATGCATGCATACATATGTATGTATATACGCAAGCGGAGTGCCAAAAGAACGCTATCATTTGTATGTATGCATTTGTGTGTGTGCTATGTTTGCGTTGGTATATGTGCGTCAAAATCACATAAACAAAATGTTGTTTTTGTATTTAAATAGTAAATAATTGTGAGTGTCATATATGTGTTTAAACAAATGAAATTTGCAAAAGGCGGCAACACCAAATTCCGATGCTTCAAATGGAAAAAGCTGGCGATGCCGTTGTTGTCAAACTGCGTCAATGTGTTGACAAGTTGCAACAACAACGTCATCGACAGCCGATACAACAACAAACTGAAAGTCTGGCGGCGGCAGCGTCAACAATACGCACACACGTACACACACAGCCAGGCACACACAGTTACAGCGGCAGAAGCAAAACCGATTGCTACGGTAGTTCTTTCGGCGGCACCGTGGGCCACATTGTTATTCGAAATAAATAAAAGAGAAAAAATAGACGGACAAGATTTAAAAAAAAAAAGAAACAATTCTAGAAAATGGCAAATTAAACATACAAAAAATTACATACAAATTTTAATTAAAATATAACAATAAATTGTTGTGTTATTTTGTACATCAAAATGTTCAATGTGAACACCGAATTGTCCCATTGTGCGTCGTAGGCGCTGCGGTGCGCTGCGCTGCGTTTGCCGCCTTGGACCTCTCGTTTTGTGTTGTTTCGTTTCGTTTTTCGCTTCGTTGTCGTCTCAGTCGAAGTTCTCTCAATCTCATTCATTTTGCATTGTGCCTTTCAGCGCAACGGACGTGCGGTGTCGAGACAACACTAATAAAGTAACTTAAAACAAATATCTAAATAATAGTAAACACAAACTTTACTGCAATTTCATTAAAAGTAAATGCTGATGACTTTGATTTAAGAGAATGTGCAGTTATAAAAGCAAAACATATTTTGCCTAGTTGTTTTTTTTTTTTTTTTTCCGTTTTGTTTGCTTCGGCTTTCGCTGTCTTTGGCACATTTTGGCGGCGCGCTCGTGTGCGCTGTGTTTATTAATTGCTCGATACAACTTTCAAGAAGAAGAACAACAAACAAAAAGTGCGTAATAAAGGTTTGCAAGTGCCGCCCCCCTTCCAACACATCAGCAAAAAGGAAGTAAAGAGCAGGAGATTAAGCGTAAGAGAGCAAGCGACGGCAGCGTTGCAGCGGGAGAGCCGGACAGCGAAGCTGGCACTGACAATAACAACAACAAAATGTGAGTGCAAAAACAAAACAATAAATAAAATAAACGTAGCTAAATTCAATTTCATGAGCAACAGCGCCAATAACAACATGGTGTCTACATTGTCTGTAAATGTTGTATGTATGTATGTGTGTGTGAGTGTAAATACAAAAGTTGATCACACCAACAACCAAAAAAAAAGAACGTATGCTGCATAGGCAGAGTGCGGGCAGAGATGTCGCGACCCCCGCGTCTCTTTGCGGCTTGTTATTGTTGTTGTAGTTTTGACGCCCCCTGCTGCAGTAGCCCGCAGCAGACGTGCACGCGGCGTCGCTGCCGGCGCATAGTCAGCAACAATTGAAATTGAAATGCAACTGCAAACGATCAGCGCTTGTGGGTCGGTGTGGTGTAAGGGGCGGGCAGCAGGCGGCAGCGATTATTGTCGCCCGCATTTATACGTACATATACTACGTATTGATACAGTGTCGTCCGACACAATGATGCTCCTGTCTAAAATGGCGAGAGAGCTACGCTGAAATCTATGGCTTATTTGTGCCGCCTTTGTGATAATTTATTTGCTGCGCATAACATTTTAGGAATATTTTTCTTTTACACACTAATGAGCACATGGCGTGCCTGTGACAGAGGTGGTAAAAAAAATGTGCTTACGCATTGCATGTGTGTGTGTGTGCATTTACTGTTGGGTCATTTGTGAAAATTTAATATACATATGTTTGATTTATTCCCATCATATTCGCATGCTAACCAAACAGCAATTGTTTAGATACTGTGCATATTGATTTACAATTGATTTGCATTCAAGTTCAGAGCTAAACAATTTACAGTGGCATCCCAAACGTCTTCGGTTTCAGTTTGTTGTTGCCGTTACGCGCTCACATTTAGGAAGTGGGGAGTGAGTGAGTGAGTGAGAGAGAGAGTGAGTGAGAGAGGGGCAGTGGCCGCTCTCAACAATGTCTGCGTCAGCAGGAAAATAGAAACAGAGCGACGGCGCTGCGACGTCGGCGTCTGCGTTGGCGTCCCATGACGACGTCGTTGCTTGTGCTTTGCAAACTGTTTGGTTGTTTGTTATTGTTATTGTTGTTGTTTTTGCGATCAGCCTTTTATGGATTTGCAATGTTATTACACTCTGCTCTCAGCTCTGTTGTTTTTCGACGCATACTGAATCAGTGTGAGTGTGTGTGTGTGTGAGCATGAGCACGACAAAAAGAAAGAGAGAGAGAGAGAGAGAGATCACGGAGAGTCGTTATTGTATTGTTGTGACGCTTTGACGTCGGCGCTTGAATTTTTTGATAAAACGTCGAGTCGTGAGCAAAAGCGACCTCGTCATTGTCTGGCTTTTGCCTGAGGATCGAAGCTGCGCTCGTAAGCTTCAAATGGCAGCAAGAACAAGAGCAACTTTTTGTGCAATTACCAGGTACAAAAACAACAACAATCGACAGCCAAAGAGATTATGCAACCTAAAGAGAACTTAAGCTCTCTGTGCGTGTGCTGTCGATTTCGGACTTAAAAATCAATTGTAAATTTCTTCAACGCCCCCATTAAAAACTAATTGAATACATATAAAAACACACACGCACACGCACAAGCAAGCCACAATATTTTTGACATGACGTCTGCGAATGAAGTGAGAGAGAGAGAGTGAAAATGAGCATCGCACGCATAGGTGCCCACCCACTCAGCACCCAACTAACGGCGACATACTCGTGCTCTCGCTTTTTGTTGACGCTTTGACTTTGCACCTCACACGAAATGCGTGCGTGTGCGTGTGCGTTTGGCTTGCTGTTGGTGTTGGTATTGGTGTCTCTGTGCTTTTTTTGAGAACCTTGGCAGAGGGAAGCAAAAGGCAGAGGAACCAACGTTGACGCCGTCGCCGACGCCGCCGCCGCATGTGGTCGCTGTTTGTTGATTACATAAAAAATGAAAATAATTATTTATGTATGTATGCATTTAGCTCGCACACTACATTCATGTATGTACATACATATATGTACATAAAATATGCATGTATTGGCTTATGTATATCTCTTAGTATGTAACTGTTTGTATATATACACACACACACACACACGCACAGCAGCAAAAAGAACTTTGTATTCTTAGCGCGATAAGATATACATACATACACACGTACAGCAACATATACAAATGCACATATGCATGCCTGTGTGTGTGTGTGTGTCGAGCAAAAACAATAACAAGAAGAACGATGCGCGCAAAATGCAAACAAAACTAAATATGAAAAAAAAAAAAGAAAAAAAGTTACAGAAGCAGCAGCGGCGACCGGCGACAACTTCTCGTGCGCTCTGTTATACAACAAAAGCAACAACAACTGTGAGACAGAAGAAATTTGACAACAAAGCGCATTAGCGAAAAAAAAAATCGAGTGCACATACCCTTTTTTGGTAAAGGCGACACAAATGTCGATAACAAACAAGAACGCATCAAATTTCATTTATAGGCCAAAAACTCAAATTCGATTGGCTTATTGCAATTACCAATTAAATTGAATATTTCTATGCTATTTTTCTTTTTAATTATTATTAATAAAAAAAATTTAAATCATGCTTTATTTTCAAACTAAGTTGAGCTCCAATTGTTAAAGTAATTCAATCTGCAAAAAAAAAAAAAAAAAAAATCAATGCTCCTAAAATATAAATTTAATTTCCCGCAGCTTATAATTCTGTACTATGCCTAGTTTATCTACGCATTTACCTCAACAGCAAAAATGGCTCGAAGTAAATGCGCAAGTTATCAAAATAGCTCTCGCTAAGCGCGTCACAATTCGTTGTGCGTAATTTGGTCACGTTGTTGTGGATGCTGCACCGTGTTGTGCGCACCACCTGCACATGTTTTGTAGGCATGCAGATGAGTTCATGAGAAATTTTATTTTTTTCCGCATGTGTAGCTTCTGCATCATGTTTAGACATGTGAATCAATTTCACATGGCCGGCTCCCCGCTGGCAAGTGCCTTATTTTTGGATCTGTCTCATGACGACTGTCGGCTTTGACGATTGTTATGCATATTTAAAGCTGTGGCCACACCGACAGCCTGTATAGTTTGCAGTTTTCCTCCCTCCATTGAAAAATAATTCGAATGTGCTAATTAACTGAAAACGTTTATCACGCTCTTTCGCTCTCGTGTGTATGCCAATTGGCTTGAGTTAGTCGATTGAAGAGCGCAGACAAAGGTACATTTAAAATGCTTTTAACCAAGAGAAAAAAAAAACTCAATTTCAATGTTGAAGGTTTCCAAATTGTTGCTAACCAAAAGAATAACACATAAACGCAATTTTCTTCGCAATAAAACTGTTGTGATTTGTAAGCTAAAATGATTTCAAACTTAAATTTATTTTACAAATAAATTTAAATTTAATTATTGTTCAGTTCATGCAAATCTACTGACAACTAATTGGTTTAGCTCGATAAACTTTTATTTTGATTATGAAATAAAATTGATTTTTCGTATAATTATTGTTCTTGCATAACTTTCTGACATCTATTGCATCATATTGTAAAAATATGTAAATTATATTTTTATAAATCTAATTGTGAAAATATCTCAAGCTGTAATTTCAAAAATACATTAATTTTTTTTTTTATTTTTGTTGGTGAAAAACATTTACTCTCTCCCTTTTGTGTACAGTTCTGCTTGGTCCGATATTAAACATTGATTTTTGTTCCTTGTGGATTTTCATTTCTAAGCTTTAATCGAGTTGCGTTAAAATGTCATTTAAAACTTGTGTCGGGTGCACAATTCAACTTTCTTACGGTTAAACAGGTTCTTTCGGTGAGGGGCGTGATCGTCTGCTCTGCTTTCCACTTCTTCAGCTGCGAGGCTGATCAAGGCTCAAAAGCTCTCGCGCTGCGCTCTCTCTCTCTCCCTCTCTCTCTCTCTCTTTTCGGACTTGTCTCTTATCAGCACAATTTGTTGTTGTTGTTTTTGTTGCTGCAAATGCCATTTTGTCTAATTTAGTAATATTCATTGTGGTTGACCCAATTTGTTGTTGTGCCAGCAAATTGCTTGGCCAAAAAGCAGACACACACGCACACACACACACACACACACACACGCGCGCGCACACATATGGCAAAGGTCTATTTTCAAATCAATTGAAATTGAAATTGCCCAAGAACTGTCACTTAACTCGTGTTGCGCTACTCTAAGGTGCAAGGGGGTGGCGGGGGGCAGTGCTGCACTCATTCTTTTTTTTTTTGGGGGGGCACCTGGCAACAGAGCAGCGACAAAAGCAAGGCGAATTCAAATTCAGCCAACGCAGCGCGCGCACTCTCACTTAAATGCCAAACCAACAACAACAACAACAACAACAATTACGATAACAACAAAGATGTGCTTATTTTTAGTTGACGATTTAGTTTGATGCGCTTTTTTTAGTTTTCGTCGCTGCTGCTGCGACTGCAGTCCCCCCGCTGACCCCTCTTCCATGGCCCTCAAAAAAGCCGGCAAAAGCTAATTTCGCTCTCGCTCTATAAAGAGCGTACTCACACACACACACGCACTCTCTCTCTCTCTCTCTCGCTCTCTCTTTGATTTCGTTGGCGTTGTTTTTGTGTTGTGCGTGAATAAAATAAAAGTATAATTTATTTTTAACAATAAAAAAAAAAAAAACAAAGACTGAAGAAGCAGCGCAGCAGCGGCACATAAGACAATGCCGTTTTTCAATTTTCCTTTCCGCCTGGCTAAAATTAAATATGCTAAATACAACAACAACAACAACAACAAGAACAATTAATGCTTACACTGCATTTAGAGCTTTTGCTGGCGCGCTGCTTGCGTTGTTGTTGTTGTTATTGTTACTGTTAGCTTTTTATAATTTTTGTTATTCGTAAGCTGTAAGCTTTTTGGCTTCTTGTATTTCCTTGTATTTCCTGCTGCGGCTGCTGTCGCCGTTGTTGGCGGTGGCGCTGTTTTGATGCGTTGGCAGCGCACGTGTTGACGTCGACGTCGACGTCGCAGTCGCAGTCGCATTTAGCACTCATCATTAAAAGTAAGT